TTTATTTTGCCAGTCCTGGGGCTTGAACTCATCCTGGACACTGTCCCTGAGCTTCTTTTGCTCAAGCTAGCACTCTGCCTCTTGAGCCATAACACTATGTCTGCTTTTTCTGTTTATGTGGTACTGAGGAATTGAACCCAGGGCTTCATGTATGCTAGGCAAGCACCCTACCACTAAGCCACCTTCCCAGCCCAAGACCCTCTTCTTTTCTCCTTTGGACATCTATAAGAAATCGTACTTCTCTTTGTGTAGTCTATATTAGTTCCTTGGTTTACTGAGCAGTGAAATTCCAGCCCTTTTAAAACAGTGGCACTATGTAGCTATAAGCCCTTGCTCGGCCATGATAGTAAAAGTATATTTTACAATTGGTCCTGAAAAATCACAAGAGCTCTTAGGCAGTCTCCTTTCTGGACTTTCAATATGTGGGCCTTGAGGAAGAAGAAGGAAAAAAATCCTCTTAAATTTATTAACTACCATGGTGAAATGTTATTTTCTGATTGCAACCAGGGGAATGTTTTTACCTCTGTAGTTAATTTAGCAATCCTGACTCTGTAATTTGGCTATTGAATGAAGGGCAAACTTTTTATATGTGTTGCTTAAAGTCTCTGCTACTCTCCAACCCCATTTGCCCCCATGATATGGCAGGTGAAGATAAATACAATTAAAGATCATCTATATTAAGTGTGGATGTTGGTTTTGTGTTTCATAGACCAGCAAATGCTATGAGCTAAATGTGTCTTAAGTTCTGACTCATAGATAGAAGGATTAAATAGATGACCATCTCGGTCCCTGAAGCAACTTACAAGTTGTTGAAAATAATACCTTGGATTTTCACATGAGAGGCTTTTCCTCAGATACCATGAGGACGATTTGATTGCTTTTATTTGATAAGCTTTTATTAGGTTGGCTTTTCCCTGCTTCTGTACTGCATTCAGGGAACAAGGACAGAGCCTGCATTTGAATTCTGGCTCCAAAAGGCACTTCCATCAGACAAATTGCTTATTCTCTGGGCTCATCCGTTCCTCATCTTCAGAATGGAAATCTTTGTCATTAGGGTTGACTAAGAGAATGTCAAAATAGCCAGGTACATACTGGCATAAGCTATGCATCCAGTGAATGTTATTACAAGGTAAATCTGAATGGTTTGATGATGGGAAAAATTAATCGTATGATGTTGTCTCTCCTGCTGTGTGACTTTCTTTGTACTTCTTGGTATCCAGCCAATAATTTGGAGTCCAGGGTGATTCAAGTGTTTTGATGACTTTGGTCTATCTCAGCCAATAGCTGAGATAGACCATTCCTTAAGAAAGAAAGAAGGAAAGAAAGAAAGAAAGAAGGAAAGAAAGGAAGGAAGAAAGAAAGAAAGAAAGGAAGGAAGGAAGGAAGGAAGGAAGGAAGGAAGGAAGGAAGGAAGGAAGGAAAATAGAAAGAATTAATCATTTTGTTTTGAATCCTACAGCTTAACTCTCCATTCGCTTAACAGGCAGAAATTCTGAGAGAGGGAATTGTGTCCTCTCAGTGAGAAATCTGTTCAAGTAGAATTACCGAGAGAGAATTCTGGAAGCCTACGGATTTAAGTCACCAACAAGGATTGTACATCATGGAGTGTTGAGAATAGACCTTAAAGATCTCACCCTACTCCAGACTTATTTTGTGTTATTTCAGTCATTTGAGAAAAAGAAATCTTTGATTCCAAGCTTGAGGAGCTACAGAAAAAGCAATAAGTTTCTGTCTATCAATGGAGCTGGCAGTTTTATTAATTGTAAATCATTACCTTTGGAGTACTGTAGAAGCAGTCATTGATAGATTGCAATTCTATTGTCTGAACTCTGAACCAATTCCTTCACTTGTCTGGTAATACCTTGACCAACCTCATGTTTCTACCCTGGAGCTCTGTGGCATATACCTGGTAGTGTTTGTTTTGGACTTAGTATATGCTTTGGTACAATGAAACTCTTGATGACAGGGCTGACCATGGCTTACGCTAGTTCTGAGCCTTGTCCTTCACCCCAGACTGAATTAGCTTAGCAGAGGTTAGTAATATTCCTGCAGCAGCCAACCTCTACCTCATTCATTCATTCACTCAATGTGCCATGGTACCCTTGGTTTGCCAGGGATTTTTTTAAGAGCCAGGTCACATACAGAGCAGTGAACAAAACTCCTACTCCATGGACCTTATGTTACAGTGGAAAAAGGCAGATGGTAAATGGAGTAAGTAGGAAAACAGAACATAGAACCAGTACTCTGGAATGACAGAAAGCTTGGAAGGTGGGTAGGGAAGGCAGAGATGGCAATTTTAAGCAGGCAGGCCATACTGAGACTGAGAAGTTATCAAGTGAATCATGGCAAAAAGAGGCGAAAGGACAAATTACACAGGGTATCTAGAGTGGAGTACCTTTGCCT